GCAGTTATTCATTCAAAAACATGTTAAATTAAAAAATAAAACATTGGGGAGTAATATAGGACAATGTATATAAAAACAATTTAATAATTAACGATTTTCATCATTGGTCACAATGTGTAAACCAATAAAAAATCGACACAGCCTTCCAAGTGATTAGAGTTTTGTAAACATAAACTATACGGAACTTATTAGAAATTAAAATATTTATCATTACTTTCATGTTTAACATAATATATAAATCTTCTCGAAGTTCTGAGTCATATTTCAGTGACCATTTCAGTATATAGCTACCATATTCTGCAACAGTCACACATCAAATTTCTAAGTTGAACAAGTTTTCAAACAAAAAACCGACAGCGCGTATTTGTAAATAAAATATGAACTATACATCAAAGTGTACAATCAAATTACAAAATTTCTTTCAAAACTTCTATTGAGATAAAAAAAAAAGAGACCAGTTACATGATAGAAATCCTTAAATAAAAAGAAGAAAGATAAGATGCATTTTAATCAATTCTATATTTAATGTTGAAAACAACCGACATATTATTTTTGTAAAAAAAAAAAACTGAAAAAAAGAAATAATCCTATATTCTAAAGTTTATATGTAGACAAATAGCATATTCTATAAAAGTAGCTTTAGAGTGCTTATTATATGTGACAATGCTTTAAAGATAGCTTCTGCCTCAGTTTTCCCTATGCCAATCTGTGTAATTGGAGGACAAGTATCAAGCTGTATCATCATTGAAGACTCATTTGAGTCTGTAAGTTGTAAATCTTGCAGAATAAACGATATATTAGCTTCCGACAATAAATTCTGAAGCTCAGACAACTTCTTTGTTATTAATTCATCAGTAATTAGCGTCAAATGATCAGGAATTAAATTGTGTAATTCTTCTAATATTTTACAGCGTAAATCAGCATCCAAATTGTCTCTCATTATAGTATGATATTCTGTTAACTTAACACCTAAATTAATCTTTCTTGATGAGATCAATTTCCTCACTACACAATATTTTGATTCTGCAATTTCATTCAATTTTTTATCTGGTCTATCATTGTTTTGAGAACTAGATTCCATACTAATGTCTTTTAACTTATCCATGATGATATTGTTTATCCTATCTGCCATTTTTTTTGCAGCATCATGTTTGGCTTGTTTTTTTGTTTTTCCTACTCCGGTTTCTGTAAAATTAGATACTACACACCGAATGGTGAAAACTCTTGCATGTGGCGGCCCAAGATCACTGACAGGGAAATATTCGGGTTCCTGTAAGTTATTTTCAGCACAGAGATCCTGAAATAATGTAACAAGTGATCTCACAAAGATGTCTAAAAGTAAATATATATTATAACAACAAAGCTAGAAGATGGTTACCTGCAAAGCACCTATGGTATTGACGAAAGGTACATTTGCTGGTAATCTTGGGGATACTGGTAACGGATCAGGTAATGGTGTGCTGACAGGAGATTTAGCTGGCGATGCTGGCAATTGTGGATAGTTTCTATGCGCGGCAATTGTTGTTAACATCGCGTTAGCAGCTTCGTGCTTAGCGTCTTTCTTACAACGACCTGTGCCGGTCGCGGTGAGTTCGTCACACGTTACTTTGTACGTAAACGTGTTTATATGCGTGCCGCCGCCGTCATGTATCAACTCATAATTGGGTACTGTTCCCTTTTTCGCCATCATCTCCTGAAGAATAGAAACTGGTGTCTTATTCATGTCTCGAATATCAGACTGACCTTGTATTCGATATTTTTAGGCCAATTCGTAGCCCAAATTTCTCCGAAAATTCGCGGCTAGACTAAATTAGACTAAGTTAGGTTATTTTCTCCTTCAAATTCAACGCATGACTGCCTCTGCGTCTACATGAAAAAGTGCATATGTGAAAGGGTGTGTCACATCAAAGATCCTTCTTTCCACTCTGGTGGTAGGCAGCCTGTCGGCCTTGTATCGCTCCAACACCACTCACGTCGCATTAAAGATCTTCTTCTTCTCAGTTGTGGTTATGGAATACCCTGAGCCTGTTTCCCACGCCAGTAGTTAATCGCATCAAAGATCGATGTACCAAAATGACTGGCTGAGACAAACTAAATGATAGAAAGGACATCTTATAACACAAAAATTTACGGATCACAATAAATCAATAGGTAGGTTCCACTTCAGTCCTGGTCTGCAATAAGTACTTTAAGCTCTAAACCTCAGGAAATTGACTAATCACAGTCGATTATTCTCCTTAGAAAATCCTTTTAGATTCACTGCGATTGGTCAATTTCTTAAAACCAGTATCAGATTATGGATTGAAGATTTAAATTGAATTGAACTTTGACCAATTAGTGTAGAATTCAGTCAATTTCACTAAATTTTAGTTTAGTTAACTTTACACTGATTGGCTAAATTCGGAATTTAAGGAATTAAGGAACTAAGGAATTTAATCTCAATTCCTAATCCGTAGTTTACGGGATTAAGGCTTAGGGCTTACAACACATATTGTAGACTAAGATTTAGCTGTACATTTTGTATTCGTCAGTGCTAGTTTGGTTCAGTTCAATCTTCATGCAGTCCAAGTTCAGCTATAAAGAACAAACTTATTGAGAGGGAAAGAGAGAGAGAGTAACTAGGAGTGCGTTTCACACAATGCCCAAATCGTCCTTTGTACTGTTCCACTTAACGCCCGCGGCGTTCACTGCATCCTGTTGTAACTAGTTTTATAACTAATTTTCTAACGTTCACAACGTCTGTGTTAAAATCCGTATCAGACTATAGTTTGGAGATTAGAATTACGGATGAGAGATTGGAAATGGACCAATCAGAATGCAGCAGGTCGGGAATAAGATTGTAAATTAGTATCACACTACGTATTGAAAATTGAAATTGGATTAAAAACATAGATTATGTATTAGAGGTCTACCAATCAGTACATTATATGATAGAATGAAGATGTGAACTCAAAATTTAGAGTCCAGTCTATTTTTCGAATCCCTTTTCACATACCAGCTAATGAGCAATCAACTTTAAAACATGTATAGAGTGATAAAAAATGCAGTGAACAAGTAGAAAACAAAAAGATAGGAAAATAATAAGCAATTGCTTGGAGGGAACAATAAAGAAGTTAGGTCAAGCTGAGATATCTTTTAATTAAGAAAAGGATAAGTATGTATAAAAGCAAAAATTATTAATTCTTTTTAGTTATGTCACCAAAGGTAGAAATATGGACAAAAAAAGAAGACATGTTAATATATTTAGTTGAAAGAAGCCCAATATGATGTAAGCAACAAAGATTACAAAAGAGTAGATTTGAAATATAACCAATGGCATCAAATAGCTGAAATTTTAGGTTTATCTTTTGATTGTAAGGAAAATTTCTAATTTTACATTTTCCACAAAAATACATTAATGATGTATTTATTATATTATTGTATTATATATTATTGTATTATATTATATTATAAATATGTGCAAACAAAATAATGTATCTATGTGTAACATGTTTTACAAATACAACGAGAGTTGTATTATTAATTATTATTTTATTAAAGAGAGTTGTAAAATTATTTTTAAATACAATATAAAAGTACATTATATATATTGATTTAAATCTTATATTATATTTTTTGTATCTTTACAGCTGACATATTACAATATAGATTTACTAGTATGAAACTCATTACTCGTTCCACTTACCGCCACGTTCACGTTAGTGAAACGGTTTGATCGCGAGGTTGCGAGCGTGAGCATTGCGATCGTTATGTGGAACGCACCTTAGAACAAACCTTATGTTTTCTTGCTGGAAAGCACCCCTAATGTCTTCACTGTATTTGAGACACGTGTCCATATAAAATATTTGCTGAAATGTGTGTGTCGTTTTTTAGATTTCCGATGATATTTTCAGTGATCATAACTTTTGTAGGATAAACATTCATGATTATAAATTGATGAATTGTTACGATGACCATTTTGGTCTCAAATATACGTAACTGGTACAAAAGCGCAACAACAGGGAATAAATCAGGTTTGTTTTCCAATGTAATTATGACGTTCTTTTTCATAAGACTTATTTGACTATGTCTTTGTACTTCATCCACTATATTTGTTACGATATTATTGTTAAATTTAGAATTTAAAAGCATGTGTATTTCATATTTCGTATTAATAGTACCTGAGAGGATAAATCTTGGTAACTATGTAATGATGCATCTGTGTAAAACACGACCCATGTTGGTACAAACAATGCAAATTTCTGCGCAGTAACTTGTAATAAAAATGGCAAAAAGAATTGAACTAATAATACTTGTTATTCTGCTGAAATTTGGACTCTTCATAGGACAGCAATTAGTAGAAGTATGTAATATAATTTCTTATATTAAGAGTTTCACAATGAAAGCTTCCTTCGCAGACTTATAGTTCTTATTTGTACATTAATAGAAGAATGAGCAATCAAAAGTAAATTTTTATTCAATTAATCTCTTATTTTATATGTTTAAATCTTGTTATATACATATGCATATATATATATTTTTTTTGTTTTAATTGAATTTGAATAAATCAATTAATATCTGTTATTAGAATCCTACTACTGAACTAGTGGTGGAACAGGATGATACGCTTGTTTTATTTTCAACACTTAGAGGATCTCTCATAGGAGTTAGTCAACGATCTGGAGAAATACGATGGCAACAGGATAATGGTAGTAATTTTGTTCAATTATATATATTAGTATGTATATTCATGCATATGTATATATATACATATATATATATACAGTATAATATATATATGTATATATATACAGGATATCTGATGCAAGCCTTATCATCCATCACATACTTGTAGGTCAATGTGAACAGAAAAGTTCTGCACTATTTTGTAAATAACATAACTTTGAAAACTTGAATAACACAAAATTTTGCAAACAACAAAATTTGGAGTTATTAATTATTAAAAATGGCTATGTATAGAGACTCCTTTAATTAGTAACTTAAAAACTTGCGTATTATTTGCAAAATGATAGAGGACTTTTGTTTAAAGTAGCCTAATCCGATATAATAAATATATAACAGCTGTTATATATTTATATAACATAGTAACACATAGTTATACATAGCAATGAGAGTTCAAAGGTTTGAGGTTCGAGTATATTCATGTTTGTCATTAGGATAAAAACATCCTA